ACCGAAGGGACCAAGCGTTACAACCATAGAGCAGAGCAACCCTCATTGTTGCCTTGTATACAAGGCCTTTCAGACGAAGGAAAACCCTTCTGTCGTCAAAGATGCCGCAGGTTCAAGAAGGCAGCTCCGGCCTCTGTAATGCGTGAGCTGACGTCAGTTTCTATGCGCCCATCATTGCTGATGCAGCTGCCAAGATAAGTGAATTGACCAACCACCTCGAGTTCCTCGTTAGCAAGCGTCAAGGGGTCATCAAGTGGCTGGTGGTCCTGCAGTAACACTGCAATTTGTAGGTGCGAAGTGCATACCAAATATGGGGACCGCTCTAGACTGGCTATTCAGGCTTGATTGTGCCGTCGCAACATTGTCGAAAAGCAAGACGATATCGTCCGCATAATTTAGGTCAACTAACCTTTCACCAGGCAGCACTTCAACGCCTACATCGTGAGACTCCGTAATGGAACACTCCGTGATACAACCCACGGCAAAATTGAACAAAAATGAGGTAATCGGACAACCCTGACGAACGCCACTTGTGGTTGGAAAGCTATCCGATAGGCCACCGTAGACCCTGACGCGGCCTGTAGTGCTCGAGTATAGAGCACCACGGGTGTTCACATATTTCATGGGAACACCTTTCCGCGCAAGTAATTCGAACAGAATCGATCGATCGACTGGATGGAACGCACTCTTGAAATCGAGGGACACAGCTATTGTCGGTCTGCCGTATGTGTGGCGCTGCTCTAGCATCTGCCGCAAAGTGAATCTGTGGTCTATACCGCCTCGTCCTGAACAGAAACCTGCCGGTTCTTCCCTAATCCAAGATTCCCATTCTGCAGTGAGGCGACGAACGATAATTGAGGCCAGTAATTTGGTCACAACTGGCGTTATGCTAATATCCCTGTGATTAGAACAGTCTGTGGGACGGCCCTTTTTGTATATTGCCACTATAATCGATTCGCTCCAATTAGCCGGGACACTCTCTTCCTTCCAGATACGTTCAAATAGGTAGGTCAGTGCCCTGCAGAGGACCTCAACTCCATCCTTAAATAGTGCAGGTGGGAGGGAATCTGGGCCAGCAGCAGGAAAACGTTTAAGGGCTGTGATCGCGTCTCGGAACTCAGCCTCCGACGGAGGCTTTAAACTAACCGTCCGTGGCTCATCATGCATCACCTGAGTAGGACGAGGTCCGGGAGCAAGGCACCAGCTGAACTGATCTCGAAATTGTTCCGCCCAACGTGCCATACGGCGCTCCTCATTGTGTATCAGCGCACCCGCGCTGTATCTGATTGTCTCACTGACGCTTGTTTTCTGGGACCAGTGGTGCGCCTTAGCTAAAAGAGCTTTCGGTAATTGCCTACTGCTCCTGCCTCCTCCATTTCTTGAGCCCTACTGGTGCTCCAGGCTTCCTTGTCAGCACGTTTGGCTCCGCTTTAGTTCGCGACTAATAGCCCGTCTGGTCACATTGTGTTCAAAGCAAGCCGAGAGGTTTCTTCTGGAATCCAACAGGTTCACCAACATCTCGGATATATATTGACTGGTGCGGTGACGATAGATAGTGCTACAAGCAGATGTTCCTGCGTCGTGCATGGCGGCCGAGATCCTATTCCACTAAAGCTCAGTGTCATTAGGACAAGACAGCGAAAGTTCAGTACGCAGTGCGTCTTGATAGGCTTGCCTGCCCGAGCGCTGAGACAATTTCTCAGTTGCCAATAGGAGGAGACGCCTGGTGCGCCTCCCGGTAAACTTCATCGAGAAACGACAGTGTACCAAGGCATGATCAAAGTCGACGCAGGTATTCGAGAACAAGCGGCAATTCAGCATGGAACCACGCCATCTATAACTTATGGCTATATGATCCAATTGGGTCCATCGCTTGCCAGCTACAGGAGGACTCCAAGTGGCACTTCGGCGCCCACTGTGTATAAAATCAGTGCTACTAACAAAGAACTGGTGCTCCGCACACAGTTGCAGCAGACGCTCACCGTTGTCAGTTCGTTCGGAGTTAAGCCCATAATTACCACCCAGCTGAGCCTTTGAAGAGCTCAGACGCCGCATTTGTGCGTTCATATCCCCTGCAAGTACTATGAGATCTGAACTAGTAGCAATGCGTAGTTGAGCGTTCAGTTCCTGATAGAATGTACCCTTGACAGCATCTAAATTGCAGTTGGCGGGAGCATAAACGTAAATCATGAACAAACAGCGTTTTGTATTGCTTCGTGCATCCACCTTAGCTGATGTTGTCAAACGGGCTGCATATAAATGGCTGTTCACCGAAATCCAATCAACCAACGATGGCTCAGCCTAGGAGCTTTGAATGATACTTACACCAGCTTGACCCGTGAGTACTTCCTCGGCGTCTCCGGATGCGTGCAACCAATGACGAGAGGATGAGCCGGGTGCAGTTAATTCATTAACCCTGTTATGGTCATTGATCCTAGTTTCGGACACGCAACACACATCAACTCCCAGTGTGTCCAAGGTGCGTGCGAGTGCAGCCCGCTGACCTGTTTGTCTTAGAGTGCGAACGTTGAATGTCGCCATGGAAACGGGACAGCGTGGTCTTATAAGGGACTTTTGCCGATAGGCGTCCGATAGGTGCTGTGGGATGATGGCTGCAGATGGTTCTACCCCAGTGGCACTTCGGTTGCTGTCAATTAAGCTGGGAATTATAGAAGGAAGGTTAGTAAAGGGGATCGGGATGGGAGTAAGAGAAAAGGGTGGAAAAGAAAGAAGGGAGGCGCCAGCAGTAGCATGTTTTCGCTTATCCGCCTTGCTGTATGCAGCAGATAAGGCGACCCTTGATAATCTGTGCGACGGCCGATGCAGGATGAAGTTTGTTTTTGAAGAAAATGTATCTTACCGACATACTAACACTGGATTAGGTGCAGTAATGACTTACTCAGCTGCGAAACGGTAAGTGCGCTGGTTCCGACGGGATCCCGCCAGCAGTGTTGAAACGCGGCAGAATCACATTGATGCATGCGCCTCGCCCCTTGGTACAATGCGTGCGGTCTGATGTGTATGTGCCTGCTGACTTGAAGAACGCCCTTATGCTACCACTGTACAAGAGCAAAGGGATCAAGTTATATTGCACGAATTATCGTGGCACCAAATTGCTGAGTTGTGTGCGTAAAGTGATCGCCCCAATCCTGTTCAATCGCCTTGTCAACCACGTCGTTAAACTGAATGTGGCGGAAGAGCAATGCGGATTCTGTTTGAGTCGCAGCATCAAAGATATTGTGTTGTCGCTTGTCAGTTGCAGGAGGAATGCCGAGAGCGACGCCAGCCACTTTATTCGCCGTTTGTTGAATTCACCAAAGCATTTGTTACAGTGAACAGCAAGGCGTTGTGGCTGGTGTTGGATAATTTTGGTTGTCCGGGTAAGTTTTTAAGTTTAATTGAATGTCTGCGCAGTGGTATGCGTGCGAGAGTGCTGCTGAGTGGACAGACTCCAGATGACTTGCAGTCGTTTCTTGTCTGAAGCAACTCCGTGTATTAGCCTCAGTCTTGTTTAACCTTTACTTGAATGCGAGGATGTCCTGTGCTTTTGATACTGTCTTTAACTACGGTGTCTCTGTGGAGCACCCTATTGATTGTAGGTGGCTTTACACCCGTCGTTTCGGGACGAGAACCCTAGTGTGTGAGACAATTATCCCTAAGTTGCTGTCTGCGGACGACTGCGCGTTGTTTGTACGCAGCCTGGATGAGCTGCAGCGCATGACGACAGCTCTCACTAAGCCAGCGAACAAATTCGGGCTCATCATCAACCTAAGCAGGACCGTTTGTCTTTCGTAGCCTTCGATAGAAACTGAACTCTTGCGTGCCTTAAGGGAACAGCCTCCCAATTGGCTACCTGAAAAGTGTGATATCTATCGACCTGAAGATAGCGACCAAGCTGTTCATCCGTGTATCGAAAGCGGCTGCTGCGTTTAGAAAGCTAGAGGATCGGGTGTGGAACGATCATCAGCTGACCACTGGGACGAAGCGGATAGTATACATGTCGAAGGTGCTGTCCATTATTCTCTACGGCAGTGAAAGCTGGACGCTTTATCTGATGGACGTCAGCTATTTTGAGCGGCTACGACAACGATGCCTACTTCCTACTCTGCGCCTCGACTGGGGTGACCGAGTTGCAGACACGGAAGTGCTGCACCGCAGTGACATGTATACGGTGGACTGCATACATTTGCTGAGGCAACTGAAGTGACTCGGGTATGTTCGCCGCATAGATTTGACCCTGATACCAAAACAGCTGCATTATGGCCGACTGGGTGCAAGGAAGCGCCGTGTGAGAAAACCGAAATTACGTTGCCAGGGCATGATCACAGTGATTTATCGCAAACGAATGTTGCTTTTAGGTGCTGGGAAGCGATGGATGTGGATCGTCGCAAATGGCGAGATCATGTCAAATGGGTAGTTGCCCAGCTGCATGAGAACATACTTCTGCTTGCGGAAAAGAACCGCCGAGTACGGAAGCAACAGGCGCCGATGGAAGGCAGCCCATCGACGTAAGGCTATTCGTGCTGTAGCACATGCGGTCGCGTGCCCGAACCAAGCCGGCATGTTAAGCCACCATTGTCATCATAAGTGCCCAACATCTAAAAGTTGACGAGTCAGCTGAATAGGTAAACATCATCAGCGCAGCCCTTGGTGAGGACGCTGGTTCAGAGTCAATTTACTAACTCAAACCATTAAGGCGTTCGATGTGGTGTGTGTGCTACATCATCACTGCAGTTGGTCTGTACGTGTACCTATGTTGTTTCTTGCATTAGAGATGTTGTCTGTACTTGATGTAAATGCTGACAAGGTGCCTACCCGTCTAGTACCCACCACTTCCTCCATACTGGCTCCAGGAGAGAACTGGCCATTGCTTGGGGAGATGGGATGCATGGTCATCGTGACTGTAGTAGGCTCAAAGTGATTCCATGCATTCAGTGCGTAACGGGTAACGGCTCATCCATCATCTTATGTACGTCTGGTACCCGTGACTCCCCACATAAATGGACAGGAATGCTGCTGCTGCTGCTGCTGCTGCTGCTGCTGCTGCTGCTGCTGCTGCTGCTGCTGCTGCTGCTGCTGCTGCTGCTGCTGCTGCTGCTGCTGCTGCTGCTGCTGCTGCTGCTGCTGCTGCTGCTGCTGCTGCTGCTGCTGCTGCTGCTGCTGCTGCTGCTGCTGCTGCTGCTGCTGCTGCTGCTGCTGCTGCTGCTGCTGCTGCTGCTGCTGCTGCTGCTGCTGCTGCTGCTGCTGCTGCTGCTGCTGCTGCTGCTGCTGCTGCTGCTGCTGCTGCTGCTGCTGCTGCTGCTGCTGCTGCTGCTGCTGCTGCTGCTGCTGCTGCTGCTGCTGCTGCTGCTGCTGCTGCTGCTGCTGCTGCTGCTGCTGCTGCTGCTGCTGCTGCTGCTGCTGCTGCTGCTGCTGCTGCTGCTGCTGCTGCTGCTGCTGCTGCTGCTGCTGCTGCTGCTGCTGCTGCTGCTGCTGCTGCTGCTGCTGCTGCTGCTGCTGCTGCTGCTGCTGCTGCTGCTGCTGCTGCTGCTGCTGCTGCTGCTGCTGCTGCTGCTGCTGCTGCTGCTGGATGCATTGTTCTTCCCTGAAAGCACAGACTCGCAACGAACGCCTTAAGTACCGGGAACTCTACTACTGTTTCACAAGTCCACGCAAGTGATTTGGGAATCAGTGGGACGGTGTGCCTACTGAACTACAGACCTAACTTTCAGACTAACGTATTGGTGGTTGGGTAGGCTGTTCGTGCTCCCCGAACGCGTCTTCACTTACTCAGCTCCCCTTTCACTCGTACCTGAAGAGAGATTGAACGGCGTTCAGTTTTTACTGCTACAATCAATTCTGCAAACGTTACCAGACGGTAGTCCACTGGAACTAACACTAGCTTGCACATGCCACTCAAAACAATCGAGTCGCCGAAAATCCAGACACTGTAAATGAGCTTTAAAGCTGGTGGACGCAAGCTTTGGTTGCCTTCTTCTTGGCGTTACAGTTTATTTTCCGCATTGGTTTATAATGCGGACACTTCAACCGACAGTGGCAATGAAGGTTTTTACGGACTAGTTGCAACAATTGCAATCGGCTGGTTACAAATGCTACAGAGATACAAGTTTGCAATGGCTCCAAATGGTTTTCTTTCGTTAAAATCAGAACTCGAAAATGGATGTTAGTACGCAACGTATCATGGCTGGTTCATCGAGTAGCTCCCACGCCGGAATATTGGGACAACTAGGAAGTCCAACGTAACCAATGCACCCAAATGCTCGGAGAAGACAAAGCTGAAAATCAGCAAGGTGTGGCAACAAACTCCAGCGCTAAACACAAAATGCTGTACAATTATGTCGATGGCCCACGTAAGTTGAGGCACGGATTTCCTTTACTCAGAATGGCGGATGCCCCGACGAGAACGGCTACGGAAGCAGCAACCGCGCTAACGATGCAATGTGCTCCCACGTTTCAGAGGGCCGTCAAGTAATCTTCCGGCCTTTATCGCCCTGCCGCCAGAACTCATTCACATCGCTGCTACTGTTGAAGGTGTATTTCACGAGTTTACGTCTGTGCGCAAACACAGCTCCGCGGGTGACGATACCATTAGTCCAGGCACTGGAACCAGCAACAAGCCAACTGACAGAACCTTTGGCTAAGATTTTCCAGCGCTGCTTAGACCAAAACAAGATTCCTGCTATGTAGGCGCGTGAACTAATAACTACAATCCACAAAAGCGAGAGTAGTATTGAACATTCAAACAACCGCCCAGTTTCTTTTCTCCCTATACTGTCCAAGCTCACGGAATCCGTCGTTGCCGATGCACTGGTGTGTTAACTGGAAACCCGTAAGTTTATTACTCCCGTAAAGCACGGCTTGCAACGATAGCCATCGTGCACAACTAATTTACTGCTAACACGGAGTAGTCTGGAAACCAGAGTTCCAGACTTTGAGGCCTTTTCGAATTACCTAGAGCAACCCAAGTCATCCTGAACCAGCACATCTAAATCACCTTCAACAGTGAATTGTTGCAGTATGTTCTTTCGGAGCCGGTATGAGTAGCTACTCTGATGTAGGATGTAAAGTAGCTTGCATTCACTCACGTTGAAATGCAGCAAATTTCGGGTTGACCATTGATATACCGTGTCTAGCTCACCCCGAAGCAGATGTTGGTCGGCGTTCACCTGAATCCAGCGCCAAATCTTGTTATCCTCGACAAACATTAGGAAGCTGGAAGCGATTGCCTGTGCGAGCTCAATAAGAAACACCAAAAACAAACGTGGACCTTGTACTGAGCCTTGTGGAACACCACACTGGAGTTGTATGGGTCCGATCAAGAGCTCCAAACTTTGACCACTAATTGTCGTTGGAGGAGAAAGTTGGTGACCCAGCTTAGAAGAGGGTTACCCATCTCATAATGCTCGAGCTTGGAAATTAGTATCCGATGGTCTAGACGAATGAAACCCTTTAAAAAATCCCGGTAGATCACATTAACGTCTTCTCCAGCGTCAGCTGACTCGGTCCAACTACTCCGTGTTAGCAGTAAATTAGTTGTGCACGATGGCTATCGTTGCAAGCCGTGCTTTACGGGAGTAATAAACTTACGGGTTTCCAGTTAACACACCAGTGCATCGGCAACGACGGATTCCGTGAGCTTGGACAGTATAGGGAGAAAAGAAACTGGGCGGTTGTTTGAATGTTCAATACTACTCTCGCTTTTGTGGATTGTAGTTATTAGTTCACGCGCCTACATAGCAGGAATCTTGTTTTGGTCTAAGCAGCGCTGGAAAATCTTAGCCAAAGGTTCTGTCAGTTGGCTTGTTGCTGGTTCCAGTGCCTGGACTAATGGTATCGTCACCCGCGGAGCTGTGTTTGCGCACAGACGTAAACTCGTGAAATACACCTTCAACAGTAGCAGCGATGTGAATGAGTTCTGGCGGCAGGGCGATAAAGGCCGGAAGATTACTTGACGGCCCTCTGAAACGTGGGGTCATATTACTGTTGCGACGAGCATTCGGACAAATAAACAGCTCCATATTTCGACAAATGCTCAGTGCGTGTCTTTGCTGCATGTCTATTACGCCATTCAAGCCTGGCACTCATGGTTGAAACATGACCCTATTGCACTGGAGCAGTCTTAATGCCTGGCATCTAATTACGTCATTAGAATCCGCAATTTCCCCTACGAGCAGAAGCTGAAACCATTGGGTTACGCAGCGGATAATGGCCTACTTGGTTCTGCCTGATGCACATGATGTGTACTTCCTCTTACTGCAACTCGGCAATAATACAAACCCGAATGGTCACTCACTGAAACTCGCAGAACAGTATAGCCACCTTGAGTGCAGCAGAAATTGCTTTTCTATTCGTGTACTTGACCCAAGCAATACTCTGCCTGTATCGGTTGTCTCTGTATCGACATTATCAATATTTAAAAAACGGTTAAATAACGCACTCACCCACTTACCCTTTGTCACTTACTCCGTGTTTCCACCCTACCCCAGAAATATACCTTCAATCTATTTGCCTTTACCTGTGGCTGCTGTGAAACAACGCGTATTGCAGGACTACAAAGGAACAATAAGTTCGTGTTTTCATACTCAAAGCAATAACTTATTATTATTCATGTTAATTTCCAAAAAACCACCAAACTACCCAACGGGACTTGTAAGACAGTGCTTCTTAAGCCGTATAAATTCATTGTTCTTTGTTTACATTAGATTGTGGTTTCAGAAGACAAGTAATCCCGAGGTTTGGCACACTACAGGGAACAGCAGCACAAAAGCCATGAGGATGCTCACGATCCAATTAGTAATCGAGATTTGCGTCTCGAACATACGTGAATACGTTTGTGACGTGCAGCATCTACAACTGCTGTTGCTGTTGGTTTCGTATCCGAGCAGAGTATAGTTCGATAAGCATTGATATGTTCGGCGCAGAACGCTTTGTAGTAGGCTATTCTGTTGATGTCACAACTGTGGTTGCCAAATAACTGGGCAAATCTACCATAATTATCAGTCCAACGGGCACTACCGCCAAATAGGCTCTCAACCCAGTCATCATGCAGCTCAGACCATGAACCGTGTCAAAACACATCGGCAGCTGAGGGATGACAGGGTCGTCATCTTCTTGCTGACACTAGGTGCTCTACACAACAACCTGCAATGTCCCTTTGGCCTGTGTAAACCGTCCTACAAAAAATGACCGGCTTCCGACCCAACAAGTATCAGCAGAGACTCTTACCGTACATCAGCATTCACAAGCACGCTTCTAACTCATGGTGCCTACACCTGCTTGAATACCAGCGCATAAGGTCATCTTGGCAAGCTAACGGAACTTGGTACTCGTCAGATCTTTATGCCTTGGGACATAGTCATTGTGACCGAAACATGACTGAACACAGAGATCACGGATGCTGAGATTGCTTTACCCGGTATGACATCCCTACGGAAAGATCGACCCAGCAGGGGAGGCAGAATACTCCTGCATTACCGATCCGACCTGCATGTTTATATCCTCACCGATCCAGAAACTAGTTGTTAATTCTCTTTCGTGTCGTTTGCACCTAAGACTTGGTGATGTGCGTTTATTAGCAATAGTTTACCGCCTAAGTGATTCAGCCTGGCGCGCTTACAAAGTCTGTCCAAGTAATCTGACCTCGAGTGCTTACACAACGAAATCACTGCGCCAAGTTAATCCGCGAAGACGAACTCCAGCACCAAAAGAACTTAACGGGGAATTTCAGTACAAATCCTAACTTGCCGTACAAACACGTCAACAATCTCCGGAAGGTGCGGCGGGGAATCCCACTTTTGCGTGCAACAGATGGTCTAGCGCAGGTTACATAAGAGACGGCCAACGCGCTTCGCCAACATTTTATCCCCACTTGCCAGCGTGAACCATCATTTCATCCACTTTTGACAGCTCCCAGCGCCACCAGTGTTAAACCTCTTATCGTTCACGACAGCCAATGTATTAAAAAGGTTAATGTCATTGCACGTGCACAGCTCACCTGCAGTGGACGACATCAAAGCGAAGGCATTGAAGAAAGCGGCCATGAACCTTGCAAAACCATTTGCTTGGTGGAATTCAGGTTCCTACAATGTGTAAACAAAGAATAGTCGCTCCTATTTACAAAAGTGGTAATCGTTAGGAGCCCTCGAACTACCGTCCAATCACCCTCTTCCCAGTTTTATCCAAAGTAATGGAAGGTATAACTGCAGAAGTGCTCATGGGATATCTTGAGAGCGACAACATACTAGTGTCACAGCAACACGCATTCCGCCGAAATCGATCCTGCACTACAAACTTAGTTCTGGCCCGAGCAAGCTGGACAGAGCCAGCCGATGCCAGGGTGGGAGTCGACGTCATCTACTTGGATTTCTCCAAAGCGTTCGATCGCCTGGAGCACCTCAGTATCCTTCACAAGCTTCGAAGCAATGGAATGGGTAACGCTTTGTTGGGTTGGATAAGCAACTTTCTCACTCAACACCAGCTGAAGTCTAAACTCCATTGCTGACCCCATTGACATCCAGCGTGACGTGCTCCAAGGATCGGTACTGGGGCAATGTTTATTCCTAGTATTCATTAAAGATTTCGCTGGTGTACTGCAGTCCAGCAACTTGCTATTTGTAGACGATGTCAGAGTCTGGCATGACATCCAGACACTGGAAGATCACACGGCACTGCGGAACGATCTCCACAGGGTCTATCTGTGGTCATCCGAAAACCGGCTCCAGTACAACTTAAGAAAAGAAAAGTTGTGGGAATAAACCAGAGCTGACCAATGAATATCGACTTGAGAACCAGCAGTTGCAACGTGCTGTCCAAGAAACCGACCTCGGAGTGATCGTGCAGGATGATCATGGCTGCTCGAATTAGGCTCAGAAAGCATCGAAAAGAGTCCGTCAACATCTTAGACTCTTACGGAGGGCTTGCGGAAATTTCGAACCATCAATCTTTCCGAAATGCTGGACGCCTACATGAGGCTTCGCTTGGAATACGTGGTCCATGCCTGGTGCAAGCGCGATGTCGACACCCTTGAAGCTCCCTATTGTAGAGGCACCAAAATGTTTAGAGGATTGTTTCACCTCCCCTGCCAACGCAGACTGCAGACCCTGAGACTGTACAATGATGACGTCAGCGAGGGGATCTCATCATGGGTTACTTTACAACGCCGAACCTAATTCACTCTTATCGCAACCTGTTACATCTGAGTCAAAATACCAAACTGAGAGACCACCAGCTCAAATTTGCTATTCAATAAAGTCGACTTGTCGAAAAAAGTCTTTCTCCCTCCGGTTGTCCCGAACCTGGAGCTCCAGTACAGCTCATGTCATTCTTGCCTCGACGTTAACGCTTTTCAAAAGGCGCCTTGATGAAACACTTTCCCAAATGCTTTACTTACTACAGTCCGCTTTACCCGGAGGAAGAAATAACGCAAACCAAACTATGTGCTAGGCACTCCTCTCTGCAACGTGACGGTGAGGATACATGCATCAGTGTTCTTACGAATAGCTTGGATGTACCTAAACTCGATTAACTTATCACATCGGTCAAATGAAGCGGGTGAGCGTTGTCCTCTCCACTGTATAATTCCACACGAAGTACTTGAATTATGATTTCTCTCCATTTTGACTTGTGTGTGCACATGCTACTCTCATTTCATACGATCGTTATGCCGCAGTGCATTTAAATTGGTAGGCGCTTAAAATGACGATTTACTTAACCTCTGATCCTTTTAATTTTCCCTCTAACCATCTTACCGAACTTGTCAAGCATTTACTTTTTTACCCGTTCATCGTTGGAAGTTCATTTGGGCTCCAAGGCGTTAATAGTTACGGCAGTCTACGGATTACGGGGCATATGGGTGAGGGATATGTATAACTTGTAGAATCAGTCCCTGAGAGCATCCGAGCTCTTCGTCTAGTGATACTAGCGTTGACCGTCAACAGCCACGTGCTGGACTCCACTCTCAGATCGTGTCATCTCTAGTTGAAGTTGCTAAACAATGACGAAACCGATCATGGAGGGCTACGATAGGAGAGAGCAACCTCGAAACCTTCCACAACACGACAGCTTGTCTCCCGATGCTCTCCGTCAACTCAGATGTAGAGGGGAAGCTCAACCACACACGTGTTGTCACTCATGGAGATAAATTTACGTAGGCCCCGTTCGACACTGCAGCAGTCTCCGACCATCATCCGTTCGCCACCAAGGATAAAACGAACTAGTGCATCACTAGCGCTTGCGTTGTGGCTCCACTATTTCTTTTTTTGTGACATTGTGTCATCTGTTAGCAGATTTGACACAAGGTAACCTTCAACACGACTCCGAGGGCGAACCGAGGAGTTATAATTAGTGACGCGTAGACATCACCTTGGAGAACAAACACAAGTATAAAGAAAACGGAAAGGACGTTACGGTTAACAGTCTTCGTTTTCATATCCTTCTGTAACAGTACAGGAACGCCTCTATGAAAGGAAAGCGAGAAGTGTCGTTGTGAGAAAGGCTCAAAATTAGTTCGCGCGCTAGTTTTTCAGTCATTCCCTACAATAGCTTAATGACAATCAAGATCACTGGTAGATGAGGCGCTGTCTATATCTAAATGGTTCAAAGAGGAAAGCAGTAACGAAAACCATGTCAAAAATATCTACAAATATAGTATACACGAAGCTATACGTCGAATGCGCACATACAATGCTGCTCAGTTGTGTCAATGATAGCGCACATTATAATCGCCGAATAGGACAAAAGCAGAAGTGCAAGTGAACACCTTCGAACTTCTCGAATTATCGACCGAAAGAGATGGTGTAGTGTTTCTACTTCCAACAATTCGGGTGTCCACCGCAATGCGCACGTGTTTTCTCATGCTTTTTGTATCAGGTTGGTAGTATTTGTCAAATCGATGGAACTGGAGTGAGCACGGGTTAGCGGTTAGTGAGAGATATTATTGACCAAACGTACATACACACCTTGTACAAGCAAGCTCAACCACATGCAGTCAGCGGGGGCGGCGCCACCGCACTTCCAAATTACCTGAGTGTCTCGTGTTAATCTGGCTCGAAAACGGGTGCGGCTGACTGCTGTTGACGAGCAGAATTTACCATTTGCACACTTGCCACTTTGTGATGAGGCAATCTACCTGGTACCGATTCACGCCATGGGCTACAGTTTTCTCAACTTTGTTATCTTTCATTTCCGCGGAGGTGGTGGATGATCAACCCCAGCAGGAATTTACGGAAGTTCAAGGTAGAGTGCTGAGTTCCGCAGCCACCCTAGGCGTCTGTGCACTTGTCTTCGCATGTCTCAATCTTATCTGCTGCAGTGTCTCGCTTCACAAGGCTATCAAGTAAGTAACTTCCGTGTTTGCTTTATCCTCTATGTCAAATCCTTCGCTTTTACGGGGTAATTTTTACTCTCTACATGTCCGTCTACTCGTAATCAGCACTTCATGCTTCGACGCCAGAAAGCTCGTAATTGTTAACGAATACAGGATGGCTGGACTACAGTTATGTTAGCAAATCAATACAAATTGCAGTAAGACATCTTAATTTCAAGAGCGTCTCACTACATTCCTTGTAGTATGGAACTGTTTTTGTTAACTCTTCCTGTTTTAAGGCATTTATATAATGGGACAGGCAACACACTAGGAAAAATCAGACATTATTGATCATTCTCTATTTCATTACTTATGTGACGATTGGCCAGGTATGCCCCTTCATACTTTGGCCATATGGGAACTTATCTGCAGCATGCAGTAGGTCTCCGCTGGCCTTTGAAAGCTTGAGAAGTAGCTACGAAATGGAGTTCAACAGGGCTGCTTGTGTGACCCTACGCTCGTTTAGATACTACCCTTTGCATTTCTGTCTAACACGCACGACACACGAGGGCTTTGCGTAATCGGTCATCTCCATCATGACGCTGAAGAAGACAGGACCCCGTACATCGGCTCATCGCAATTGCTAATAAACCTCGTCTGGAAACCAAAATTAAACATCTGGCATTTAAACCAATTTGGAACTTTCTTATTTCTATGTTTACGCTTAAATCCCTGGATGAAAGTAATGCATTTAGCAAGTGTTGTGTGGCCCTCCATGAATCAAAACCAATGTCTTTGCCTTGCTCAGAAAGCTGTTATTCATAGCACACAAGCTCACATTTTATCTCATCAATTAGAATCACTCACCGATTTGGAGCACATCTTCTTGCTATTGCGTTCTCTGCCAGCTTTCGAGTTTCTTTCAGGTCAATCTAAATCGATTGCATACTATCCTTCAGTTCGGCTCTGCAGCGATCGACCAGCTTTCAGACTGTCGGCCCAAAATCGTTAAGCTCGACCGTTCGATAAACAACCGGTATGCTCATTGTGGAATCTTACCACCACAGTAGGAATTGGTAACCGAGTCCTGTTATTGCTCAGAACCACTACTGTCGAACACTATTGGATGTATGATATTTCAAGATAACGGACAACATGGTGATCATACACATGGGACATTCTGTCTTGGTGAAAATGCTCCTAATGGAGGACATAAAACCAGTTTTAGGTTATGTTATAATCTAAAGACGTCGCGTTAAGACGTAAATGATACGAGCGTTTCAGCAAGATAGTACGGCTGTCATCGATGAACCCTGTCGAGGTAGAGCCCAGCCCATAGCTATTAATCCGAAAAACATTCTAGACTTTGAACAGTTTATCAATGAAAAGCCATATAAATTTCTGTGAAATTAAAAACTTACTTAACCTTTCCCCGGAAACCGTTAACAAAACAGTCACAATCATTTGGTGTCCAAAAGATTGACTGTCACAAGATTTCCTAACCAGTTTTCTACTTTTAACTGTTACACATGAGTTTCATTCCGAAATAAATTGTAGGAGAGCTATGAGATAGTAGATCAATAGTACCTGCGTGGTCTCTTTCCATGTTCATTATAGTTCTGGCCTAACTCCAAGTTATTTCCACTTATTCTGGTGGCTAAAGGAACTTCCCAGAAATTAGCATTCTCACACTTGTGATAGTGTCTTAACATGCTTCAGGCACATTGACAAACTGACTACTAAGGCGCATACAAACCGGTCGATGCCGATGGTTTTCCTTCTCTTATCAGTGTTTATATCTCTCTTCGCTTTTAGAGTGAGTTACGTCCTTCGCAGCTGTTCTTTCGTTATGTAGCAAGCATTATGTGTTCAACTTCCCTCCAGCTTGCTCAGTTTACAGTGGTGAAACACCGTCACCGTTTTGACTGCATACAAAGTTAGATCATTTGCCACTAAATTTAAATCCCGTAACTAGTGATCTGCGATTGTGCTGCTGGTGTTAACTATGAGAGATTAAGGTTTGCAGACCACGTTGAGCCACAAGAAGGAAAGAGAATCTCAGTAACTAATTTTAAGCATCGTAAACGAATATTTAATTGAATAGTATGAATTAAACGAGGACTGTGTATGACCAGACGTTTGACACTACTCACTACAACCTCTGACTGTCTTCACTGTCCAGGACTGATCTCAGTTCCTCCAACGATACTGCTCTTCGGTTGTATTAGGGGCATGGTCCTTGTAAGGTTTCTCTGCAGGTGACCATGGAGACAGTGTTCCATCCTAACGTTCTGTGCTATCAAAGGTGGAAGATAGCAGTAGCGGTCCCTTAGGATTGCCCTTAGCCTTATTCGTTTTTACAAAAGCGATGGGGTGCTGCGTGTTCGAAGACAACATCGGGCGCATACGCATATCCAGTAAATCTGACAGATAGGACATAACTTTATGGGAGACTTCTTGCCAATGAAGTGGGTAGAAACTAAAATTTACAAACTTGGATATGCTTGGGTTGACAGGATGCATTACTCTTATCACATTGCGGGCTGATTGCATTGGAAGGCTTTACGAAGCGTCAGCAGAAATTTAAGCATTCAATTGCAGTGTATTGCACGTGAGTGCAAGAAGCGTGGGTCGATAGTAGTGCAATGAATCACGCGCTTACACCGAAGGCCATTAAAGCACAGGGGTGATTCTTTCCAACAAAATCCCAGGTTCATGATTGCCAAGCAGTTATTCCGCGTTCACACGAAACTTTGGTTGAGGTCCTTTGTTAGTTTAAATGTTCGCATATCACCATCAGCAGTGGCGTAATACGTTGAGAGGGTGTGTATCCACATACACCCACACACATTCTGGACCGTTGTCGTTACTTTAGACACTGGCCTTGAACGGGACTACTGGCGTTGTTATCCAATCTGAACGCACCCAGTGAAGAAAAGAATGTAACGAATCATGGCATGAAGCGATTCTGATTCCAGGGACTTTTCGGTGGTGATGGTCCACAATCCACGACTGTCTTCATTTTTGTTTTAACTGTTCCATTAAAGATAAGCATTAATAGGCTGTGGGCTAAACGTTCGATCGCTATACTGCCTTGAATTCTGGATAGTCCAAACAAGAACGAACAGCCGTTTGTAATGTAAAACTGAGCGCGCTGAACAAGCAATATCACTTCTTCGAACACATTCCTAATCATAACACTGACCAAAATATCTCTCAAGGTAATTCAGAATGGCAAATCAGAAAAAGCCTGTCTATCACAATCCAAGTGGGCAGATCAAGGTGCTTTGCCAACCGCTGTATCCGGCTAGCAAAATGGTTGAGGAGTCGACCAGAATTTAGGATAAAGTGCTTTCGAATCATATGTGTCTTATTTTTACATGAACATACCAACGCCATAAAACATGTAGTTAAGTGTATCGCTGAAAACAGTGAAATGCGAAAGAACAATTATTATGATACGGCTTTGCTTAGCTCGATGACCACATCTAAATGATTGTGCACTGCGATCATAACTCCGCTTACACATCGCAGTCTAAACATGTGATATCTACCCCAGAATCCAACAGTGAAGTGTCTGAGTTACATTCAGGACATAGAATGGTGTCACAATCGCGAAAACAGATCGATTGTGGACACAATGGTTCATCTGTCTGACAACATCTGACTTTGTTTGCTGAATGATTTTCATTAGTTCTCAAACTTAGGCTTTAGAACACCGTAAAACTGGTGAGCATGACTAGGGCGATACGCAACTGAACTGAGTTTCAATGCATTCTTTCGTATGGGCCCGATCTACACTAGAAACCTCAATCGATACTGCCAAGGAATTGCGGTCATATAGCACGTTGCGTACGCAAAGGTTATTCACAAATGAATCTTTACAAGTCACAATAAGTAACAGAGGTTGCCCTTCAATAAAAACATGGTTACCTTGTTCCTTATGTGTCATGAGCCAACTTAAACATGTCCGTATTCTCTACCACCATTACAGAGATCGAGAGCGCATCAAAAAGCGGAACGCAGTCCGAAAACGAATAAACGCCCATCTCATGGAACCAAAGACTAAACCCTATATGGATGACGGCTCTCCGAATCCGGAAACACGCTTACAACCTCCCCTAGAACCCACAGCGCATGTGAAGCGTTTGCACGCCAAGTCTTTAGAGCGAAACATCCCAGAAGCACAACCACTAACAAGACTGCCTGCGACTCAGCACTCACCAGCAGTGGCTCGGCTGGCTCGAATGGATCATACGGCCGATATAACATTCACTGACCCACTGAGTTACTAATTTAAACGGAAAATAGCTCCGCTCCTTGTACTATCCGAAGGGTGTGTCCAATCTAGTTGGATGCGCATTGAACCCACATACAAGCGAATGCACACTAGATCCCCACTAGCTTACCCCTTGGTTTCGTTCTTATTCCTCTTCATTTTGGACATGAGTAAATTGGATTGGCGAGACATAGATCTAAGGGTAGAAACCCTCTCCATGGTTAGACTCATCTCAGCTACCGTTTGCCGATACTTCTGAAAGGGGAGGGGATGGTAACAAATCTGGCTGAAATATGTCTGGTTACCAAGCGAATGCAGATTAAACAGGCCGAAACAGAAGAGAACACGTGAAGATGGCAACTCATTCAGTTGGATATTGCCCTAAACTGTAAAAGCGATGAAGTAAGGTGATGATAGTTTATGATAGAATAACACAGCATACATATTTATATCTTTCAGACTCCGATGTAGCTTGTTTCTTGGTCATCGTTCGACAACGAAACATGCATAGCTGTAGTCTTGTTGTTTCGTCATTCTCATCATACCTACTCTTTCTCACTAGAAATTACTCTCTATTCGTCATTCTTTTGTTAGGGGAGGCATGCCGGCGGTTGGTTGACAAACCTGCATTAAACGTGATCCAGCAAAATTAAGCAGCTCAGATTAAATTGAGCGCAGGCTTATCGAACACTTATCGTCCACTCGATGCTCCCGTAACGGCAGCGCACAAGGCTATTCCCCCGCAACCTGTGCAAGTCGCACGCAACACATTACTAATTGCACGCCAAAACACATGTCAGCTACGGTATTGTACACTAAACATCTGGATTTTTACCTAGTACAACGCCGTTTGAATAAGCAATTTCGTAATCTTTTACAGATTCGTGCGGGATACTTTTCGGTGTACTTGGTGGTAAGGATGATATGATAGCCGTGATAATTGATCCGAGCAAAAGTTACCGTGCTTATTATGGTGATATTAAGCAATGATGTTGCATTCATTCAGGAATAAATCGGGTTACACATAGCAGTGTAAGAAAGACGCGCGTCTTCTCGTTCAGTAAGGTTCATTCATGGACTCATCTGGCTCTATGTCATACCATCAGTGTACCCCATGTTTTGCTATACTCATGCCTAAGAGCTTTTGAACAGAGCAATCGAGTATTTCATGCAGTAACTTTGATGCCAGATAGTCCACCACAGACTCAGTATACTACCAGAAAGCCTTTTTGTTCTATCGGGGCTGGTCAGCGTTATGTATCCCTGGGGTTCATCAGATAGGTAACTCATAACTTCTTCACATTAGCTGTCCTTAGACAGCGGGTGACGGCGGCGCACTGTCTAGTACTTACCATAGTGTGTGGAAGACTATCTGACTTAGACACTAGTTTGAACCTACTGCCAGTGGGGCACGAAGTACAACTCTCAGTCTGGAAGTGACATCCGGGACAACACCCTTTTACGATCCTTTCAATCGAAAATCAGATCAAAAGAAATTAAGGCAACACTTTCTCACGCTACTTGCAGGACAGATTGCTGGAGATAGTCCTTCGTAATGCTGCACGGCGCTCAAAACAAAACGCCCTTCTTAGCCACACCCATCAGTAATGAACCGTTCTCTAACAACTTGAGACACTATAGCATGGCCATGTCAAATTTATGTACATCTCTCAAGTAAAGGATAGCGATCAGAACTTGATCAGAAATACAAGAAGCTGTTCAGATATGGTCAGCTGGGAGAACACATGTTGTACCAGGAACTGGTATGTAAGCTTCTCTTCTGATAACAACTGACCTGTGTCTGTGGTGCTGTCCGATTTGCAAAAGATCATCATGGTATCCTTTACAAGTCGGTATCTAAACGGTGCATCCGCATGGTAGCTCAAACGATCCGTTCTGATATTTGGTTTCTGTGGGTTCCAGCTGCAGTTCACAATCACGAGTCAAGTTCCTTTGTGCTTACTACCTCAATATGTAGTATAATTTGCCTCACCACGATTTTAGAGGCTGGCAAGTAAAAAAACCAAGCCTGTGTGTATATGGGAACACAACAGTACAGACGGCAATTAGGTCTAAATAGGCAGGCGCTAACCTATCAAGTTTTGATTTTTAGCTTTCTGTACTTCTCTCCGGAATGTTAACCGTATTGGCAGTACAGACCTTGCGAAATTCGATCATCAGTTAGCCAACTGAACTGGTTAACGCATAGATGCATTGTAATTTTGCGCAGCAACCACCGTTTTAACCCAGGAACTGTCTGGCGAAAAGTGGTAGCTTCCAATAACTTAATCGCAGGGATTTGTATGTATTCCGTAAAATGTACCTGGGGAATTATTAAAATCAGTTCTATGGGCTTTTAGCAACATCCCAGGTTTATTTTTATCCCAGGAGTTAGAGTGTTACAACCGAATAGCTACCACTTGATTTCCAAAGACAATTTAAAACCCCTGCCCACTCTAAAATACTAGTGGTGTGAATAACTCATTAGCGTTATCTTAACAGCCTGGAACAAACAAATGGCGAAATTTAGAGAATAAAAAATTATGTTCAATATTTAAAGAGACGAGTGTCAGCGCACACGGTTGCTGTGGCCTACATGGGACCATAACGAGTGCACGCAAATAAAAATCTTTCAACTCGTACAGAAAAACATCCCACTGGCCTCTATAACCTTTTACAGGCAACTTCAAGTATAGTGATAATAAGTTTGCGTGTTAACATCTAAAATAACCTGTTGTTCCTTCAAGTTCACCTGCGCATCAACTGATTCGCTCCCTGAGGGATTACATGCACGCACTATCAGTGCCACTCTCATTGGTCATAGTACCTTAGCTAATGGAACGCCCTGGATGTAAGCACAGGGCTAGATGTATGCGTCTATGAGTGAGAGGTATGCCCCCGAGTACGTTCACACATTGGTGTTAACGGATGGAAATAGGGATGAGCGTGTCAGCGCTAGAGGTCACCAAAATTACGCCTGACTGTAGCTGGTCAATCAAGGATGAGGTGTTTGAACTTTCGCCCACAGCACTCCTTTAACCGAGCTTTTGTCGGAATGAGTTACCATTGGTTCGCATTCTGACCCGATCGGCATCCAGTGTCCTTGTGCCGAATTTCCAGCGATTGACCGAGCAGTCTGTGGTGTATCGAGCGCACAATATATGATCGGTCCAAGGTGCACAGTACCAGTGGCACAGTTAGGCTCCAGGTTACTAATGCCTCTGATTCCGATGCAACAGCGAAATCTGAACTGATATGGACAACATCCATGGTTGATGAATTTGGTGGGTTGCGGATGGATGCAAGTAAACCGAGGCTCCTTGCGACAAAGAACCAGCGAGAATCATGGACATTTGCCAGTGGTGGCTGTTCAAACTGTTTAGTTGCACATGTGTGATTGAGTTACATGATGCATCCTTCAACGTTTCTTTTACATTGATATCTACAAAAAAGGTGTTAAAGGGGGTACTTGGATTACAGTCTAATGTATCAGCGGGGTACCACATTTCGGTAACGGGGATTGATCGCAGCTTCTTTTAATGGGCAAGCATGCTTAGGAAATACCGTTTGTTGATAATCCATCTGGCGTTAATCAAAAGTGCTAAAAACATGCCATAACTGGTGCAATCAGTGTTCGCCTCACTGTCGTGTGAGTCATTATAATCGCGGAGTATGTGAGCGGTAAATAGGTGTGGGAGCAATGAGAACGATTTCATTGCTAATAGCCATGCGGCTAAGGGTCATGGGCCGTCCGCAATCGCCGTTATCTTTGTGAAAGGTGGGGGCCGATGTATCAAGTATATATTGCGACTGACTTGGCGCTGTGCTTATCTGATAATGCGAAGAAATTGCGGAAACAACAGGTGCATATATTTGGCATCTGCCGCGTACGTAGGAAGTTTGAATGGCCGAAGTTCCTGTCATATATATATATATATATATATATATATATATATATTATAAAACTTGTACTGCAGTATCTCCTAGCACAACGCATGTAGTAAATCACCTCATATCCAAATAACGCCATCTCCATGATAATGCCAATATTTCCCAGTCAATTATGCGATGTGGCCAATTGAACTAACTGCGTTAGTTGACATGATGTTTAAAGTCAGCACGTCCTGGTCACCAACCGGCTACCTATCCCTGATATTAACTTAATGCAGTTTTTTAGTGTATTTTATCAACAGCACCTAGGTAGCGAGCAGCCGTAAGTGGTAGAAGACAAAGAACTGTGGGCAAGAGCAGTTGTTGTGGAATTCAGATGCCAAAATAGTACAGAAAGTAGGAATCAAATAGGCACCGAATTCACACCCACAGTAATTGCACGGTAAAGTCCCTGAGTCAGTAGCACGTATTGGGGACGAACACGAACTCATTAGTACACGGACTATCCCAGCACTCAGAAGGTCACATTTTGCAGGGATTCACCGCTAACGATGGGTGTTGAGGAATGCTTCTAGCCCTAGAATTTAGTGCCGCGCGTGGTGGATCAGAGAACGGCGGGAATTCAAACTAATCCTTATTCTATCATGACTTCCGCTTAACGGCAAATTATATGAGCAATTGTATGCCGTAAGTGCACTAAACTTCCACATAAACCAGAAGGTGCGTGACAGTAATTGCTTAGTTCGCGTAAGCGTCTAAATTTAATAATGGCTACGTAAGCAGTGGAGCAGCTTGCTAATATCGTACGAGCACGAAAGGAAAAAACTGGCACTCAAATAAACCTTGTAAGCAATGTTGTGCGACCGAGTGTCTTGGTGTTCCAGCCTAACCTAGAACAATGCGCGAGAATAAAGTTGGAATGCAAGGACGTCTTCCTGTAGATGTGCAAGCGTATAACTATTTCAAAGTCTTAAATTTTGATGTCATCCTGGCGCACTGGCCATCGTAATCCACTCTGTATCGTTCCCATTTAATTATAGGTGCTGCCGGGGAGAGTATCGAAGGCGGCGCACCCCAGTTTCGAACCCCTGCCGCACGGCTGACAACCGGGCATACTACCACTAGCTGGCTAGCCGAACAACCTGCTCGTGATGCCAACTAGGTGGTTTCGGGTTTAAGCCGTTCCAGCAAACAGTTCGGCGGCAGTGTTCCAAAACGTGGTGGGTGTTCGCCTGTCAAGCCTTCTCGCTTAAGAGAAACCACAAATGGTTTCTTATTAAAACTGCGACTTGGCGGATGTGACTCGCCACCAACTAAAGTTACTGCTCCGTGAATATC